AGCGTCGTGTTTGGCTAATACTTACTTCAGGGTTAAGCCAATTGCTCTTGTTTCTTTGCTTTCACGTTTGGTATTTCTTCTCATTTCAATTCAAATAATAAATTTTTTTTAATCTTCGCTCTTATAAAATTTAAGAAATGAAATTTGAGTTTTTTTTGAAAAATTATTTGTAAATCTAAATTCACTCTTCCATATTTTATTATAATTTTAAATTTTTAATAGACTGATTCCATCTTATCCTGAAGTGACAACAATATTTAGTTAAAATTTCACATCGGTAATAATAGAATCCAGAACTATATTAGCACCAATGGTAAATTAATTCGTTAACATTTTAAAACATTATAGTACAATATGAATATATATACGATTTGGTGTATTTTTTTTTATATAGAAATACATAATGTTAGGAATAAATTGATGTCGTTTTCCTAATTTTTAGATGTAATATCTGTTACTGACTTTAAATATAGAATTTGTGATTGTAATTAATCAATGTAACATTCTATTCGATTAACATTAAAACATTGTATTGGACTATTGGTAACACTAACACATTCTTAAATGCAGCTAATTATCATTAGTTAACAATTAATCAAAATGTTTAGTTAGCATATATATATATATATGTGTGTATATATATATATGACAGCTTCTGAACCATGGGAAGATCAATCTCTACGGCTATAACTTCCTTAAATTTGATTTTCTGAATTTTTAGTGTTTGAAATTCAATCAATTTTTTTTTAAAATAATTTCAAATTATTTTTAATAGTTTAATTTTTTTTGCTTTACATATATATATATATATATATTTATATATGATAGCGTATGAACCATGGGAAGATCAATCACTACAGCTAAGTCACAGATCTTCGTATGCAACTCAACTTCTTCGCCTTCATCTCCCTCACTCCGAACCAAATTTAGGGTTTAAGCAGAGATTTTTCCCCAAATGGGCAAAGCTTCGGTGATCATATACGTCACCGTCGCGGTGCTCCTGCTCTTCCTCATCTCACATTCTCCGAAGAAGAAGACTGGTCATGACCAATATCACCTCCATCACCGTCGCCTGAAACTCCGGTCTTCTTTCAACTTCAAGCCCAACAACCACAAGCCGGCGCCGTTCGATCCGCTTGTTGCCGACATCGAGCGCCGCCGTGAGGACAAGGAGTGGGAGCGGAAGTACTTCGATGATGCTCACCCTGAGTTTGCTTCTCATGGTCATGGTGACTCGGCACCTGGTCACGAGTCGCAGCCCGAGTGGGAGGACTTCATGGATGCAGAGGATTACTTGAATGACGAGGATAAGTTCAATGTCACCGGCAGGTTGATACCGATAACTAATCACTTCATTTTTCATCTCTGGGATTATTCGTGGTCTTGCTTACATCTACTGATCTGGGCTTTGACTAAAATGTATGGTCGGATTAGGGCATTATGCTTAATTAATCAATACTTGATCTTGTTGTGTTGAGACATATTTCCTGCTTATGATTTGGCTTTAGATGGATAAATGACTTACCTTTCCCGGCAATGCGTGCAACTAAGCTCGTAATTCCTGATAAGATTCAATGTGTTTGCAATTGCATATGGCTGCTGGGTTTATGAATTTCAATCTTATTTGGGTACTTTTTTATCTGATTCAGAAACGATACCAAGTTAATATTTCTGTCGTGTGTGAGGGAGTATTGTTTTGTTGGTTCTGGCGTATGTCTTATGTCATGAGTTGATCCGTTTGAGATTGAGTAATCTAGAATCCAGCTTATTCATAAGCAGTTGTTTTGATTAGTATTTTAACCCTGAAGAATTTGAATTTGGATATAACCGATACAGTGTGAAGGTCAAGTTTTTATGGGGAAATTTACTCTTTCTGCACTCATCTTTAAAGGGGAGATTTTCTTGGTACTTTGCAGGCTGATTTTGTTGTTTCCAAAGATTGATGTGGATCCAGTGGATGGGTTTGTGACTGAAAGTGAGTTGACTGACTGGAACATGCGGTCTTCCGAGAAGGAAGTCATTCACAGGACTCAAAGAGAAATGGATGTTCATGATAAAAACAAGGATGGATTTGTATCTTTCTATGAATACGAACCACCCTCTTGGGTCCGCAATGCAGGTGATTCATCATCGAAATGTTTTCTCTTTTAGGGTTACCGACACAATGGAGAAGCTTATCAGGTTGACTTGTTATTGGTTCAACTTGATGTTATAGTCAACATATTACTTGATCTCTTCTTGTAACAAGTGAAGTAGATTGCTTTTGAGGGGATTCCCGTGTTTCTTCTTGTTTTCTTTTTTTGAATTTCATCTGATATTACATGTCTGCTGTTCTTGATTATTTTCTGTTCCTCATCATCAAATTGACAAATGGGAGGTGGTATCTATGCATTAACAATGGTGTTAACGGTTTGACCTATATGTTATTTCTTCTATGCCTCTTTTTTTTTTCCTGACCGAGAGGAAAAGGGTTCTTTCTTCTCTTGAAAACCTTTTTCTCACCAGTTTGGAAATGATGATAAAATATCTCAGTTATGTTTCGTAGAATGGTTAACTTACTTAGACACAATTTTATCAGATAATAACACCTTTGGAAATGACATGGGGTGGTGGAAGGAGGAGCATTTCAATGCATCAGATGCAGATGGTGATGGTTTACTGAATGTAACAGAGTTCAATGAGTAAGGATTTTCCTTTTCTGCCTACAGAAAGCAAATTTATAGAACTTCCAACTGTTTCTGGTTTAGTTAGTCACATATATATATGTGTATATATATATATATTTGTGTTCGTGATGTTTTTTGTGGGTTATTCTTTTTCCACATAGCTTTCTGCATCCGGCTGACACCAAGAACCCTAAGCTACTGATGTGGTTGTGCAAGGAGGAAGTAAGGTAATCCAGTGTGATTTTAGTAATGATAAATTCATTTTCTGGCATAACTATAAAAGGTTATGGACATTTGTATCTATCAGAAGATCTTGTTTTTGCTTCTTTTTACCAGAGAAAGAGATTCAGATAAAGATGGAAAGATTAGTTTCCAAGAGTTTTTCCACGGAATCTTTGACACAGTGAGCAACTATGAAGAAGAAAATCAAAATTCTTCACATCCGCTTCATGGCTTGCCTGAAGGTCCAGCAAAACAGCTGTTTGGTCAGCTTGACAAAAATGGCGATGGGTAAAGTATCTGTTGCATTTTAGTATATATTTGTGTTATGCAATTGCATCATCTAACTTTAGATTCTGCTCCTTTTACAGGTTCTTGTCGGATGATGAATTGCTTCCTGTTATTACTAAAATCCATCCTACTGAACGTTATTACGCGAAACAACAGGCTGATTATATTATATCGCAGGTACCTTTATTTCAGTGTGAATATGTTCTTCTTAGCTTGGAAGTTTATTGATTTTGTAAAGACGTTTCAGCAGATTTGATTGTCCACCGCTTAGGGCCGGTTGTGGATACCGAACCTGTGGGTTCTGCGGGTATCCTCCCTGTGGGTATCTGAAATTCGGGAATCCAATTACCAGTGAGTGCGAGGTTAGGTCTTTCATCGGTGAAAATCCGAGCCGCGGGTTCGAGTACGGGTTTCGTCGACCAATTACTCGAATCCGCAGATAATCCGAGCTGGGGGGGAGAGAGAGAGAGAGGATGATGAGTAGGGGTGTAAAATGAGTCGAGGCTTGTGGCTGGCTCGTTTTCAGGTGTTCTGAGCTAATGTATCCTTGGCTCGTTTTATGCCCCTACTGAGGGGTGAGGGTGCAAGACCATGGTGAGAGGGCGATAACGATAGACCATTAGAGTTTCCTTTTCGGAACTTGATTCGAGCCTCGAGGAGTCGAGGCATTTAAGCCCTTTTTTTTATCAAATAAATCTCTTTGAGTCTTCAAATTAGGGTTTTGAGTCTTCCATAAAGAGAGATTTCTTGATTTCGCCTCGCCTTGAGTACTTTGATTCCCTGATCTTCTCGACTCGACAATTGACCCCTCTCGCCTCGCCGGCCAGATTACCCGTGGGTATCTGAGTTCTCACCGCGCCCTGTGGGTAACTGACCTTCACGAGGCCGAGACCGGCCTGTGAAACCCGAGGGGACAAGACCGAAGGCGAATACACCGAAAATTTCGGATACCCGACCCATGCGCACTGCTGTCACCGATGATCAGCTTAGGCTTAGGTGTGTTGATATTTTGCCTCGCTATTGATTCGTGTCTCCTTGTACCACAGGCGGATTCAGACAAAGACGGGCGCCTAACATTGGCAGAGATGATCGAGCATCCCTATGTCTTTTACAGTGCCATCTTCAACGAGGAGGATGATGACGACGACGACTATGGATTCCACGACGAGTTTCGCTAGTTTCATTTCGGGTAAGCAGCCTCATCCTGATTCATTTCATCGAATCCTGTTTTTGCTGAATCTCTGAATCCTTTCTACGCATTGATCCTACTGATTGTGGTTCAGATACTCAAAAACAGAGAAGATGTAAGATCGGGTCTATTCATTCAAATCCAAAAGAAAACTTCCCTGTACAAACCAGCACCGGTAATCTTAGTAAAGTTTTCTTATGATCTTTAGTTATTTCATTAAATTGTTCGTTCTTGACGAAAGTTTTACAGAATTTTTCAATGCAGCTTCCATTTCCAGTATGATTCCCACGGGGAAGCATATCCCCCAATCCCATGGCGACAGGAACAGTGTTCATGATTCCATTTTCTGGATACAAAACAAAAAGTGTGTTTTTTTTTTCTTCTTTTTGTTTCTCCCTCGGATATCGGTTATATATACACCTGCAATGTTCATGTACCAGACTCAATTCAGTTTTAGTTTATGAAGCATTGCCCAGTTTCCAGGTGACAGCCACCTTGTTAGTGAAACTCATCACACTCTGTCATTTGATATATCCTAGGGCTGGATACCCACACCTGCGGGACCCATGTGCGCGTCGGAGAAACCGAGCCACGGGTTCAAGTTCAAGTTTCTTTTCTTCGATCGGTTATCTATAGATTCTATACCCACGTCTAACCCGAATGGAAAGAAGAGGGGAACAGAGGACTGGCCTGAGTCGGGAGAGAGGGGGAAGATGCGGAGGTGAGAGGGTATGAGGGACAAAGGATGTTCGATTTTTTATTTTTTGAATTTCGTGAAATTCGAAGGGGAGCCTTGACACACTGGTTAATGTGTAAGAACAACCCGGATTGAAGCAGCCTCTTGTGTAATAGTAAGATTTATCTACAATACACCTTTGTGGTAGAAGTTCTCTTCCTCGGACCCCCTCAACGGGATCTTTTGTGCACCGGGCTACCCTTTCATTTCACGAAACCCGACCCGATTTTGAGTCTGACTTCTGGCCATCAAGCCGTTCATCCCTCACCAACTCGTCTCACCGTTCATCTCTCCTCCCATCCGCTTACCGTTTGTTCGCTCCTAGTCGGGATCTCTCTTTCCTTCATCTCTTTCCATTTCTTGACCAACATCTCACCCTCGTACACGACTCTGATTGTCGGCTGGGTACGCGAGCCGTGATCTGCACCTGCAAATACCCGAGACTCGGATTTCTGACCCTGATGAGACCGAAACTCACCACCCTTAACAATATCCGCTGTCAGAAATCAGAAGCTGTAAGAACAGGTTTCCCAAGAAATCGCACCCAACTTGTTTCTATCCATTTCGACAAAGGCGCAGATAAAAACTCAGTGTAACATTCTCAAAGCACCAATACAGAGTTGTTCTTACACATATGAAGAGCTCTACTCTCACTTCTACAAGAAAACAAAAACATCATAGAAGGCTGTTCTCAAACAAAGAACCGGACTTTTTTTTTACAATTATGATGGTTGAGTTCACTTCACCATGCAGATCTTTATAACAGACGCAGCCCCGACACGGTGGAGCGCCACCACCGCGTCGCCGGGCTTGCACAGCCGATTCCCGGTTGCCGACTTCATCGCTGCCTTGAGGATTGCTTCCGTAGACTCTGCATCCGTAGCCTTTGCCGATCCTTCCGCCAACATCGGGATTAAACCTCGGTATATCAGACTGTGCCTCGCGGGCGATTCGTCGCTGCAGGTCCAGTCGAAGGAATCGGTCGTCAGGACAGGGACCACCACCGACAAGATCGGAACCGCTGGTCTGTACTTGGCTACGAGCTTGGCGGTTGTTCCTCCACGTGTCATAACGATGATGAGTTTCGCCTTGGCCTTGTTGGCTGTCCGTACGGCTGATGATGCTAGACTCTCCAAAGGGCTCATAGGAACTGGAGTGGTCCGTATCATCTCCTTGAAGATCGTGGCGTAGTCGAGAGAGGATTCGGCCTCGACGCAAATCCTGGCCATGATCTTGACGGCAATTTCTGGGTAGGCTCCGGCCGCGCTCTCACCGCTGAGCATGACACAGTCAGTGCCATCGAGGACCGCGTTGGCGACGTCGGTGGCTTCGGCTCGGGTCGGTCGGGGCGACTTAATCATGGATTCGAGCATCTGGGTGGCGGTAACCACGGGTTTACCTGCAAGGTTACACTTGTAGATCATCATCTTCTGAGCCAGGAAGATCTTCTCGATCGGAATCTCCATCCCAAGATCTCCCCGAGCAACCATGAAGGCATCGGTTTCACGCAAGATCTCGTCAAAGTTGATCACTCCTTCCTGGTTCTCAACCTTGAATCCACAACGCGAATAAGAAGAATCAGATAGTGTTTTTTTTTTTGTGTGTGCGCAAGAAATGGACATCGAGATCTAAGAAAACGAAAAACGAAAGTACCTTTGACATCAACATGATATGCTTAGCATGAGATCCAAGGACCTTCCGGACATTAACAAGATCCGAACCTTTCCGCACAAATGAAAGAGCAATCATATCAATGTTGTTTGGAACTCCCCATCCGAGGATATCTTCCTTATCCTTCTCCGTCAATGTCGGGAGATCGACAACAACACCCGGGAGATTCACGTTCTTTCTTTCACCCAACATCGCCGTATTTTCACACCGGCATCTAACTGTTCCGGCCTTAGGATCGCACGACAAGACGGCAAGGCTTATGCTTCCATCCGCGCATAGTATGGTATTTCCGGGCTTTACGTCGACGGGCAGTTTCTTATAGCTCATGGATATCATCTGTTCATCTCCTTTGATGTCGTAGTCAGTGGTGATGGTAATCTCCATACCTTCCTTCAATTGTATAGCTTTACCATCTTTCAAGAAACCTGTCCGAATCTCTGGACCCTGCATCAAAAAAATGAGTAAGAAACATATCGAAACACTCTGAACGCGAGAACAATGACTTTGAGGGATATAAAGAAAGATCATATGAGCTTGTTTAAACACAAAAGTACCATGATGTTTCAGTTTCATGGAACATAAGCAACAACTCATTAAACTTGATTTTCATGTTCTGAGTTTCACAAGTAAGAAACATAATCGAAACGCTCTAAACATGAGAACGATGATTTCGAGGGATATAAAGAAAGATCATATGGGCATGTCTAATGAGCTAAACTACAGACGAAACTCCCATGATGTTTTAGTTTCATAGAACATAAGCAACAGCTCATCAACAACTCATCAAACCTAATTTCATGTCAAGAATTTCACAAGAAACATACTGAAACCCTCTAAACACGAGAACAATGATTCCAAGGGATATAAACAAAGATCATATGGGCATTGAGCATGTTTAACCAGCTAAACTAAACACAAAACTCCCATGATGTTTCAGTTTCATGGAACATAAGCAACAGCTCATCAAAACCTGATTTCATGTCCAGAAATCCGGCAAGGGAGGATGACAAGAACAGAGAAGAAGGTACCTTGGTATCAAGCATGACAGCGCAGAGAATGCCGGTGTTCTGCATAGCTGTCCGGAGATTGTCGAGTGTCTCCTGATGGTAATCATGGCTGCCATGGGAGAAGTTGAATCGAGCTACGTTCATGCCTGCCTTCAGAAGCTTCTCTATCATCTCCACAGACCGAGACGCCGGGCCAAGCGTGCAAACGATCTTCGTCTTCGGGACTCTGCCGTCATTTGGCAGCTCCTTCAGTATCCCTTCTATGTCTATGTTCGCCATTTTCTTATAATGATCACCTCTTTACGCGACACTTGTTCTTCTTCTCCTGCGGTGAACAGAATTCAGACATACCCTTCACCGAGATCTTCGATTAAAATAAGCAACAGATCGGAATTTCTCAAGTAAATGAAGAATCAGAGATAGATCCAGCGGGAAAACAACAAGCCCTAGAAACCAAAAAAATTGAATACGAGGAAATCAATCCCACAACTTTAAAACTTATGGGTTTTACGAATTTTCTTCCTCTTTCTTAGCTGTCATCGTCATTTCCTCACCGAACCAGACAGAGATTCGACCGAACGGAAACGGAACCGAGAAAAACGAAGTTCAAATGATTATTCGAGCAAGCAATCAGGAACAAAAACAGTGAGCAGCGAATGAATTCAGGGAAAAGAGAGATGAATGTCAGGATCTTAAGACAGAGAACCAAACCAAACTACCTGAGACCGAATCTAAGTCAGGGAGAATCCACCAGAGCACTGGCTTTTCTGCGTCTCCTGTCCGAAGAAGAAGGAGAAGAGGAAGCTTTGTCGGGTTTTGGTGAATTCCGTGGCTTTGGACTTTGGAGTGTAAAGCCGCGGAAGATATAGAATCAAAGGCAGAGACTTTAAGAACGGTGGGCAGCAACTGCCACGTGGACGCCCACATGAGATATATTACACGTTTATTATATCTTTCACCAATATTTTATTTTTAAAATCCTATCTAAATAAATCGGTAAATATTATGCGAAAAAAATAAAATTAAATTAAAAAAATGCACATCATTATTGCTTTGAGAGTGGGAATATTCTGTAGCACCAAGGCATGTGCGACTGACTGCTCTTCGAAAGTCGTTGGGAAACCTACATCCTTAAATCTTAAAATTCTAATATTCCAAGTGGTGAATATATATATATATATATATATATATATATATATATTATATGTATAATTTTTTTCCAGAAATAAAAAAAAGGATGGCATAAAAATAGGGTTCTTTCGGAATTTCAATGGTCATTGGTGGAGGAACGGCATTTCTCTTGGCTTTATCAGAAAGCCATTTTCTTTTTGTTGTCACATCTCTAAATATTCAATTCGTAATAATATCGTCTCTGTCTGCCCACACGACCGACCGTATATGCCCAACCGGGTGGGTATTTTGGTACGGTTCGTAGGAACCAAAAAATACGGTATTTTTTCGAATCAACTGGTACTTTTTTTTTATAAAACTGAATTTTTAGAACCGAATTTGAAAAAAAAAACCGACAAACCGAATTTTTTTTTAAAAAATCTAATTCTTTTTTAAAAAATCGAACCGAATATAAAATACTAACAGATTGGTATAGATTTTTTTATAAAACCGAAACAATTGTGAGAGAATATCGAAACGGCGGCTCCTTATAGTCAAAATATCTATCTCCCTTCGGTGTTATTGGGCCACTTTTGTCGGAATTTGCAACCGCACCCTAGTTTCAGACATTGGGCCATTAATGGGCCCTTCTCTCTCTTTTTTTTTCCACACAAATTGGGCTTTAGACCCCAAAGTTTTTGGATGTTCGAATATCATCCCCATCACATTTTGGTGTGATGTTAATTTGGATGTTTCTAAGTTACAATGTGATAATTTATGAATGCATCTCTTAGCCTAGTTCGTTAAACGGTCAAAAATCCATCTTTTTTCGATTATATATATATATATAATATGATGCATCATTACATTTGAGAAAAATGATCATCACAGCTACCCTCCTACAAATTCAGGCATTGGTAGGTTGTTTCATAAGTTTGGATGGATGACGATAAGGATGAGGGTGATTGTCGTCGAATTTCATCGCACATCGGATAATGTTGTTGTACACAAACATGGGCATGGACCAAAAAAAAAGAAAAGAATTTGTTAGTTTTGTTTATGAAAACAAATACAAAATCAACACTAGTTTTAATCTAGGGTAAGACCCCTAAAAAACTTTCAACTTGCAAAAATATATACAAATAAACCTTTAATTTGAAAAATTGTCATTCAAATGACATCAGCAATCCGTTAATACGTGGATTTCTGATCGCCTGAAATTGTGGTCAAACCGGTCAAAGGTTTATTAGAGCAATAATTTGCAAGTTCGAGGTTTTATTCAATGACAAGTTACAAGTTCGGAGATTGAATGACAGTTTTTCAAATTAAAGATTTATTTGTATATATTTTTGTAGTTTTTCAGAGGTTTTACCTTTTAATCTATTTCGAATAAACGGTAATAAATTTAGAGGCATAATTAAAGACACATACACACACTACACCCGATACTTCTATTATAGATATGCGTGCGTACTTCATTTCGTACCATATTAATTTAATATTTTTTTTAACTTTCTATTCAATTTCTTGAATGCCAAATACATTGTGACGATTCAAGTTAATTAGAGATCAAATCATCAGTAAAAGGTAAAAATATATCTTTTGAATATACAGATTTAATTGGTAAGAAAGAGAATAAAGTTCTTTCCCAATTTAGTTGTTTAAATTTGATATATTCGATGTGTTGAGATATATAATTGGGGTTGAAATTATAATAAAATTTTTGGATTATAAATATATATTATGAATATTAAGATTCGAATTTGTATTTGGGAAAGGTATTCAAATAAACTTTTTACATTTTTTTATTATAAAAAAATTAAATCAGGAATTGAGACCGTATATACGAATTCATCAATAAATACCATCTTTTTGACCGTATGTATGTATAGTTTAGTCGGCAAATATATAAAGATAGATGCAAAAAATGGACGCGAGGATAATGATATGATCCAACAGAGAGCCCAAAGAAAAACGCGAAATTGTGTTTGAGATGGCGAGGTGACCTACGTGCGAGACTCTGATTCCTCTCTCTCTCTCGTTTTTTTGTTTATAGTTTTCACACGGACCTCTCTCCTTCTTCTTCCTCACCTTGCACGCATCTTCTCTTTGCGTAGCTTTTCCAGGGGTTTCCTCTGATTTCGGGCCTTGCCCTTTTCTCTCCTCTTCCTGGGTTTTTGCTTTTCCTCTGGTATGACTCGATCCCCATCTCTCTCTTTTATTTTTTTTGCTGCTTTTTTCGCCGATTGAGCTTTGCCTTAGTCGGTTCTTCGTCTTTTTTTTGTTTCGATTGTTCGATTTCTGAGTTTTTCGATGGTTTAACGAAATGGGATTTTTGTCTGGTTGCTTCTTTATTTTTGGGCCCTAGTTGCATTTCTGGATTGATCGAGATTTTTTGGGGTTCTAATTGAGCAGTCTCGTTTGTGTCTATTGTGATTGTCTGGATTCGATTGTGTTTTGATTTACTGATTCTTTCTGTGGATTAAGCCTTTGGTAGACAGTTGTTTCGATCGAACCAGTGAAGTCCAGCTGATCGATTGATCAATTGCGCTGTGATGCACTACGCGTTGATCGATCGATCCTGAAGGTTTTAAAGGCAAATCTGGTTACTGCTACCACTTTTCTCTTCGTCTGATCAATGGGTTTTGGCTTCTTCATCTTGATCTGGAACTAAACATCATAAGAACTCATGGGTCGAGAGTTGATTTGTGCTGCTACTGTGATCTGCATTTTCCTTTGATTTGTTCCTTTTCTCTCAATTCCCGATTGTTCTTGTCCCAACATCAAGTGAATGTCTGGTTTATCTTGCAACATATCATTTGTCTGATTGCTAAAGTGAAAATGATCTTCATCTGCTGATGCTTACTGGAACTTTGCCAAACGAGCATGTTGATACTTTTCTTTGAGTCTAATGTACATAACTCAGAGCTTCGATCTCTTCGATTTTTGCAGCGGACATATATATGGGCTGAATTAGGAGTTTCATGGGAGTTGTGGAAGATACTGAACCACCTTTGAAACGCGCCAAAACACTTGTCGACGAACCAAACGGCTTCTCTGGTAACTCTTCTGTTATAGATAGTGTGAACAACTATTTGGGGGACCTAATGGCTAGGCCTCTGACCTCCCAAGGGGACGGAGAAACGATTGGCTCGAAAGGAGTAATCAAAAAGTCTGAATTCATTAGGATAATAACTAGGGCACTTTACTCGCTTGGGTATGATAAAACCGGTGCCCTTTTAGAGGAAGAGTCTGGAATACCTATGCATGCCTCCATCGTAAAGTTGTTTCTGCAGCAAGTAATGGATGGGAAATGGGATGAAAGCGTGGGTACGTTGCATAAGATTGGTCTGCATGATGAAAAAGCTGTAAAGTCGGCATCTTTCTTGCTGCTAGAACAGAAGTTCTTCGAGCTTCTTAAGATGGAAAAGGTCGCTGATGCATTGGGCACTTTAAGGAATGAGATTGTGCCTCTTGGTGTTAATGTGAAGCGTGTTCATGAGCTAGCTTCCTGCCTAATATCACCCTCAAAGTTTCTATCGCAAAGTGTTTCAAGGTCCAAACTTGTGGAGGAACTGCAGAATTTGCTCCCTGCTTCTGTCATAATCCCGGAGAAGAGATTGGAATATTTAGTAGAGAAGGCCCTTCGTATTCAGCGGGATTCTTGTGTTTTCCATAATACTTTAGATAGTGATTTGTCTTTATTCTCCGATCATCAGTGCGGGAGACACCATATTCCTTCTCAGACCGTACAGGTTAGACCGCTATGATTGGTCAATGTTACTTCCTGTTCCTTCCATGCTGCTGTTGTTTATTTTCTGGCATGATAACAATGTAGGAGAATCATAATAGTATATATAGGCGTTACAGCTTCTTTCTGAGCTAACTAGTAAAGAAAGAAATAGTAATAGTAGTTTTTATGCATTGACTTCCTTCTTTTTCCATTTTTCCATCTTCGTTTCTTATGATAGTGTGTGTGTGTGTATATATATATTGGCATTGTTTCTTCGTGTGATGTTCCATCTTGTCATTTATAAACGATTTTTCGCCTTTTGTTTGCGGGCCTCGTCTTATGTTGTAGTTAAGGCACATTTTTGCTGGTGAACGTTTGTGGGTCTCGTCTTATGTTATAACCTCTCATACATTAACTCTCTTGTACGTGAATGGTTCAGATTTTGGAGTCACATACCGACGAAGTGTGGTTCTTGCAATTCTCGCATGATGGCAAATATCTGGCTTCATCATCTAAGGATCAGTCTGCAATTATATGGGAGGTAATATTTCCTTACCAACTAGAACTCACCCTTACCGTTCTCATGTTTTCTTTAAGATGCAATCTCTAAGAATATATTCTCGGTTTCTGAGTTGATTTGTTTGTTGAAACGCGTTATATAACCTATGTTTTCTTTATATGGGTTATATCAGAGACAGCTCTAACCTTTTTGCTGATTCTGTAATTCTTTCACTTGGTTTCTGAGTAAAGTTATTTGTTGAAATGCGTTATATAACCTATGTTTTCTTTATATGGGTATATATATCATATACAGTTTTAACCTTTCTGCTGACTCTGTAGATCTCTCACTTGGTTTCTGAGTAGAGTTATTTGTTGAAATGCCTTATATATCCTATGTTTTCGTTATATAACCTATGTTTTCTTTATATGGGTATATATGTTTGCTGATTAACTTGACTGAACTCTTCAGGTAAATTCAGATGGCCAAGTTTCACTGAAGCATAAGCTAGTTGGTCACCAGAAGCCCGTAATAACGGTCCAGTGGAGTCCTGATGGCAGGCAAGTACTAACATGTGGATCCGAGGAGGTCGTTAGGCGTTGGGATGTTGATTCAGGAGATTGCGTGTGGATGTACGAAAAGAATGGGGTGAGTCCCGTTTCTTGCGGATGGTTGCCCGACGGGAAAGGGGTATTTGCAGGGATGACGGATCGGAGCATCTGTATGTGGGATTTAGATGGAAGAGAGCAGGCAGTCTCAGCCCAACTTGAATTAAGGCCCATAAAATGTAGATTAACGTGGTCTAATCTGGGCCAGGAATGCTGGAAAGGGCAGAGGACGCAGAAGATATCGGATATTGCCATGACCAATGACGGGAAATGGCTTGTTAGTGTGTGCAAGGATACGACGATATCGTTGTTTGATAGAGAAGGGAAATTCGAGAAACTGATTGAGGAGGAAGACACGATTACGTCGTTCTCACTTTCGGAAGATAATAAGTATCTGCTTGTGAATCTTATCAATCAGGAAATCCGGCTATGGGACATTGAAGGGGAACCGAGTCTTGTGTCGAGGTACAGAGGCCATAAGCGTGCTCGGTTTATCATCAGGTCGTGCTTTGGTGGGTACAAACAAGGTTTCATTGCCAGTGGGAGTGAGGATTCTCAGGTAAAATTTCTGTTCTTTTTCTTAATCACATGAACAAAAAACCTAAATTGGAGAATAGGACTGGACATGGATACTCGAATCTGCGGGTTTTGCGGTATCCGTGAACCCGATTGTCGGTGAATACAAGGTTGGGCCTCCACTGGCAAAAACCCGACCTGTGATCTGCGGGTCCCCGAAGCCGAGGGGAAGAGGAGCCGGCGGTGAAGGGGTGAGATTTCGCGATGGTGAGATCGTGAGGGGGAGAGGGTATTTCTGTCTTTCTGTTTTTTAATCAGAGAGTAGGGTTTGGAATTGAGACTCTCTGCTCTTAGAGGCCGAGGGTGATTTTGTCGCCTTGCGTCTTGCTCGTCTTCGCTGCAACTCGTTTCCCCTCGAATCAGGTAAGCCTCCCTCGACTCTTTACCCTCGGTGACCTCTTCCCCGAGTCCTTTCGCCTCGACAGTCCTCTTGAGAATCTGCGGGTTTTGCGGTATCCGTGAACCCGATTGTCGGTGAATACAAGGTTGGGCCTCCACTGGCAAAAACCCGACCTGTGATCTGCGGGTCCCCGAAGCCGAGGGGAAGAGGAGCCGGCGGTGAAGGGGTGAGATTTCGCGATGGTGAGATCGTGAGGGGGAGAGGGTATTTCTGTCTTTCTGTTTTTTAATCAGAGAGTAGGGTTTGGAATTGAGACTCTCTGCTCTTAGAGGCCGAGGGTGATTTTGTCGCCTTGCGTCTTGCTCGTCTTCGCTGCAACTCGTTTCCCCTCGAATCAGGTAAGCCTCCCTCGCCTCTTTCCCCTCGGTGACCTCTTCCCCGAGTCTTTTCGCCTCGCTGGTCCTCTTGACTCGACAGTCGACCCCTCTCGCTCCTCTCCTGAACCTTGAGTACCCGACCATCTTGGGTATTCACGACTCTGAAACCCGAGGGGGTGAGGCTGAGACCGGGTGACCCCGAAAATCTCGGGTACCTGCCCGCCTCCACCGTGGAGAACTCCAAAGAGAGTAAACCGAGACAGAGGAATGGGTATTCAGGTCCATGTTCTCTGAATCTAAAGCGGAGAAACAGATTCTCTTCCGCGGAGCATTGCAGGTTGAGATCGGATTCGATGAACTATTCGTGGTGTGATATTCGGTATATTTGCAGGTATACATATGGCACAGAGCATCAGGGGAGCAATTACAAGTGTTGCCAGGACATTCGGGAGCGGTGAACTGCGTGAGTTGGAACCCGACAGACCTGCAAATGCTGGCGTCGGGGAGCGACGACGGCACCATTCGGATATGGGGGCTGCTCGATCATCGTCGGATAAACCCGGAGGAGAAGGTGGGGCCTCACAGCAGCAATGGTCTGGTTATCCATCAATGCAACGGTAACTGAATGAAGATGAACTTCGTCAGGCATAAGAGGGGGAAAACGCAGATGTTTGTTCTTTCTAAATCTCTGTTTTAGCAAAATCTCTATTTGACAATTCAATGTACATCCACCCCTACAATGCTTTTGTACTCTTTTGCTTTCGTGGTTTCATTATCTATCATATTTTGTTCCCTCATTTGTCGTTTCTTCGTTCTATTACCCGTCCCGTACCCACAAATCGGATATTTGCGCATATTTGAACTGTCAAGCATCTTGATTCAGACAGAGATACCGGAGGTGTCCTAAGGCGTTAATTTACCCGCACTTTCTTAGAAATTGATTTTGTTGGATAGTCCAACTAATAAAATACATTTTTTTTTCTATCCTGTTTAAAATTCTCTGAGTTATATTAATTTTAAAAAATCGAATTTTCCAAAAACGAATAGAATCGAATTTTAAAAAATTCGACAAATTGAATTTTTTAAGAAATCTATTTTTTTTATAACATAAACGATTGAAAGAACTGAAGAACACTTTCGATACGAACCCGACACTAGGTTGGGCGATCGAATCGGGTTGGGTTAATCGGATTCGATTATTTCAGTTTGAATATTTTAAATTTGAAATATTCATATATAACCGGATATATTATTTTAATCGGTTCGTATTCAGATTCAGTTTGAATCGGGTTCGGTTCAAGTTTATCCAAACAAAAAAAATGATATAAATTCAATCAATTCTCTTATAAAAATAACGAAAACAACATTTATAATAAAAATGTTATAAATTAATGATTAAATGAAAATAAATACGAATCTCATTTTATGGTTATAAAACAATATCATTATACTAATTTTTCTAATTAGATTTATAATATATTATATATTAATTGATGATATATAGATGAATAAACGATTATATTCGATTACAGTTAATTTAAATTCGATTTATTGGGTTTACGGTTTCCGTAGAATTCGATTGGGTTATGTTGGGTTCCATTATTTTATCCATCGGTAGAATTCGATTGGAGTATTTGTGTTTTATACACGTGGATGATTCGCTGACGAACACGTGGCAAAAAGTGATCCTAGTCTCAACCCTGGATACTCCCGAGTGCAGTCTCAGCCCAACTTGAATTAAGGCCCATAAAATGTAGATTAACGTGGTCTAATCTGGGCCGTTCGTTCCATATGATTCATGTACCGCCTTGCTCAGGGAATCATTACTTCCCTCCGGGAGCTGCTTCCTTCTTCCTCTCCGCGATTCGACGCACTCGTGGCCCTCTCTCTCTGGCCAACGTATCTCTCTCTCTCCACGCTTTCCGTGATTTCAGCGCCATGGTAAGTCTCTCTCCTCTCGGTCTCTTCTGAATGTATTGATTTGTGTCTGTTGCTCTGATGGTGATCTTAGCTCCATTTCTAGGTTAATGATCTTAGGACTCTTTCTGTATCTGTCGCATTCGTTAGGGTTTCGGATTTTAGGAGTTGATTTGTTGCTTATGCAGCTTAATTTTGGCGAAATGGTTGCGTAATTTTGGTCTGACGGATCTAAAACACGCGTCCGACTTTCTGGGATTTTGATTTGATTCGATAATGTTTTTGTCTATCCTGTTTTGCCTCCGTGAAGTGTCTGTGCCTTTGGATCGACTGGGCTTATTCTTCTACAAAAAATCCCCGTTTGGTTTAGTTTTACTAATGTTGAATCCCATGTTTATGGATTTTTCCCGGTGCTTACAAAATTTGTTCATGTCATTTTCTGATCTTTCTGGGAATCAGATTGCGTTCTTTGGGAGCGTTGAATTTGTGGGTTTAATCCTGTCTCACAACGCCAATTTGAAGTTTTTGTATTCCTGAATGTTAAGGCGTTTGACATTGTTTGTTCGTTCTGTGATCTTCTTGGCCGTGTTGTTGAAATTTTCTATCTATTTGGTGGGCGTTCTCTTTAAATTTGGAAGATTGGTTGTTTTTATAGCAAAATCCCTAGACATCCTATCTTTTCACTGGTTCTACTTCTAGTGATTGATTCTGTTTGTGCTACTGAACTTAATTGCGGACCAATGTTTCAATCCTTGTAGACCTACTGGACTGTGTGTTGTTTTTCTGTGTAACCTTTATGGTAAACGGCACTTTGGTTGTAGGCACCTGTGAGGGGAATCCTTGCCTTGCAGAGAGCTGTTTCAAATTTGAAGCAATGTAACAGATTCTGTCCAGCGTTGAGGTCATTCAGCGCCCAATCTGCGACCACCTCTAGCACTCCACAGCCACCTCCACCCCCGCCACCTCCAGAAAAGACTCATTTTGGTGGTCTCACGGATGAAGATCGGATCTTTACCAACCTCTACGGTCTACATGACCCGTTTCTCAAAGGGGCTATGAAGAGAGGTGATTGGTATAGGACCAAAGATTTGGTACTCAAGGGTTCTGATTGGATTGTCAATGAAATGAAAAAGTCTGGTCTACGTGGGCGTGGTGGTGCCGGTTTCCCATCTGGCCTTAAGTGGTCTTTTATGCCCAAAGTATCTGATGGTCGCCCATCGTATCTGGTTGTCAACGCTGATGAAAGTGAACCTGGGACTTGTAAAGACAGGGAAATTATGCGGCATGATCCCCACAAATTATTGGAGGGGTGTTTGATTGCTGGTGTGGGCATGAGAGCTAGAGCTGCATACATCTACATTAGGGGTGAGTATGTGAATGAACGTAAAAATCTGGAGAAGGCCAGAAAAGAAGCCTATGAAGCTGGTCTCTTGGGGAAGAATGCATGTGGCTCTGGTTATGACTTTGACGTTTATATACACTTTGGTGCGGGTGCATACATCTGTGGTGAGGAGACAGCACTCATCGAAAGCCTTGAAGGGAAGCAAGGAAAACCCAGATTGAAACCTCCATTCCCTGCTAATGCCGGTTTATATGGTTGCCCCACCACTGTTACCAACGTGGAAACAGTGGCAGTTTCTCCTACGATTCTAAGGCGTGGGCCAGAGTGGTTTGCTAGTTTTGGAAGGAAGAACAACGCTGGTACAAAGTTGTTCTGTATATCTGGGCATGTGAACAAGCCTTGCACAGTCGAAGAGGAGATGAGTATACCTCTCAAGGAACTGATCGAGAGGCACTGCGGAGGTGTTAGAGGTGGATGGGACAATCTACTTGCTGTCATCCCTGGGGGTTCATCGGTCCCTCTCATTCCTAAAAACGTCTGCGAAGACGTGCTGATGGATTTTGACGCGCTCAAGGCTGTCCAATCAGGGCTGGGAACTGCAGCTGTGATTGTGATGGACAAGTCCACCGACATTGTGGATGCCATTGCAAGGCTCTCTTACTTCTATAAGCATGAAAGCTGTGGGCAGTGCACGCCTTGCAGGGAAGGAACGGGTTGGCTTTGGATGATCATGGAGAGAATGAAGGTTGGGAATGCAAAACTGGAAGAGATCGATATGCTGCACGAGGTGACCAAGCAGATAGAAGGACACACAATCTGTGCATTGGGGGACGCTGCCGCATGGCCTGTGCAGGGTCTGATAAGGCATTTTAGGCCCGAGCTCGAGAGAAGGATCATGGAACGTGCTGAAAGGGAGTTGCTGGTGGAGGCTGCTGCTTAAGCTCTTGCACTCAGGTTTGATCCTTAGTCCTCTCTAGTTCATCGTCTGGCACATTATTTGTTCAGAATAACCTTTTGGTTGAACAAGGAAGAAGGAAGAAGAAGAAGAAGGGCATTGTTTGAATGTCATCTTTCTTCCAAAGGTTGGATCAGAGACATCAAAGATGATGATGCTCATATGTCCGCAAAAAAAAAAAAAAAAAAAAAAAAAAAAATTTTTAAAAAAAAAAAAAAAAAAAAAAAAAAAAAAAAAAAAAAAAAAAAAACTTGTTGCCCACCTCTTGTTTAGGATAAAAACTTTGTTTCCTTTTACAGATGATCAATGGCATCATCATCATGGGCTTCTTTGTAATTTATTTCAGGGTTTGTTCATCTACGAAGAGAGAGGAGGAACCTTGGGGACCGCTGAAGAGCGTGTGGGAGAAAACTCTTGTGGGTCATTTTTGGATAAGACATCTCATCTCGTCCCCCTTCCGAATTCCTCTCTACGGTCATATGATATTTTTATTATTGTATTGTATTTTCTAAGTAATGATTCGGTGATGAAAAATACCCCAAATATTCACTTTTTAATAGGAATTCCATGTAATTGTTACATCATGACTTGAAAAGAAGAAAAAAAGCTAGACAGTTGAGATGTCATAACTTGTGTTGTTCAAGTTTGTTCAACCCAATGATTACTCAACACCCCCCAATTGTTGTCCAAACGCCTAACTTCATGTCAATTCATCATCACTATTATTTTGTAAAAATGTGATTTTTGTAGATATTTTCTTTTTGCAATTCCATATATGTATATATAGATATATATATATATATATACATGTATAGTTCAAAGAAAAAGAAGAAACAGCGGGGCTCACTGCTGAGCTGTGCAAACTGTAGTCATCATATAGGCGCTTATGGTTGGTTAACACTGTTTTTGTTTGAACTCTGGCAACGAAGTTATGATCTCTCTCTCTCTCTCTCTCTCTCAATCCCATAAACCCTACTCAAAAACCCCTAATTTCCTACAGAGTCGCGTTTGTCTGCCAATCCCCAATCTTCCCGCTTCAATCTCCACGCGACTTGCCTTCGTGCTCCAGTTCGATAAGATAAGATAATCATATTTCGCTCCCCGGCTCATGCTCTGTCTTTTCGTTTCTTAGTTTTATCAGTATGGCCCGGAAATACCTCTGAAAGCTTTGCAAGTTGTGATCTCTTCGCGTATTGAATTGAATCCGCTGATGTTTTCTCTTTCTTTCCTTGTTTTTGCTTCCTTTTCTCCTGGCTGTACCCACTTCTTCGTATGATCTGGATTTGAGTATCTGAGCTATCCAGTTGAAATCTTAGGTTCTGCTGTGATTTTCTGAGGTTTAATAGTTCTTGGGACATCTGGGTTCTGGTCGGTCTTGGATTTGCCCATACTTGGATCATGAACACTGCGAACTTGTGGAACTAAAAAGATCGAATTTTGCGGACATCTGGCTTATATTCCACGCATTGGTGAAGGTACAAGGTTACATTATCTTTGGAATTTTGGCGGGTTTGCTGTGAAAATGACTGTGGATGAAGTCAGTGGTAGCTCTAGTTGGAGTAGGGAGGATGATATTGCTTTTGAGAATGCCCTTGTGAACCATCTTGATGAAACTGAAGATCGGTGGGAGAAAATTGCGGCAGATGTTCCCGGGAAAACTCCGGATCAGATCAAAGAGCATTACGAGCTTCTAGTTGATGATGTTAATAGGATTGAATCTGGGTGTGTGCCTCTCCCTCTCTATAGTTCTCCAGAGGGTTCAAACAGCAATGAGGGTGATGAAGGAGGGACGTGTAAGAAGGGTGGCGGCAGTCATGGAGGTGACTCCAACCATGGGGGTAAATCAAAGTCAGAGCAAGAACGGCGGAAAGGGATTGCCTGGACAGAGGATGAACACAGGTGACGTTTTCTTAATCTACTAGCTCGTTTGTACTTTCCATTCTTGCATCTATATTGCTTGTAACTCTTGCTGGATTAGTGCTTCATATATTTCTGACTGTGACACATTATTTGCCTACTGTATGTATTTGTCTAAAAGTCGGGAATTCATAGGCAGGCTTGCCTGGATACTGAATTCTGTGTGGTGAGGCATAGTTGTCAAAGTTGTAAATTGATAGGAAGTAAGAACCTAACGTCTATATGATAAACTAACAGTGACTGTTCAGGTTGGTGGTCAACCGTTTTCCCTGAACTTGAATGAGAGAAACGGAAGGGTAGATTTTGGTTTAGGCTAAATGTCCTGCAGTAGCTCTATGGCCTTCTGAAAGAAAAAATGGGTAGCAGATGGAAAGGGTTTCTAATTACATGATTGTTATGTCACATTCCATTGAAAATTTAAATCGGTATAAGAGTCTGGAACTTGGTTTCAAAAATTTGCCTCTTCCTCTGTTCTTTTGTGTTCTATTTGCAATATCACGACTTTGGGACCATTTTGACCATCCTTCTACCACCGGTTGAAAGTGAAGATAAATGCAAGTATCATGGCTGAAAGCTTAGAAAGTACCCCGTGGGGAAAGGAATAAGAAGATTTTACATAAAAGTTCAATTTCTATTTTGTTTAATTTTTGATGTGGGAATGGTTGAGAATATGTATAGAAGCTCAGATGAGTGTGAGATGGTATCTAGTTGCAGACTTTTGTATAATGGTAAGATGAGTGGCGTATGGTGTCTAGTACTGATTGCTCTATTTTAGATTAACAATTGGAAAAGTGATGTAATTTTTGAAGTGTTTGTTTCCTGTATGAAGATCTTTCTGTAAGATCTCTACCTATGGCATTTAAGTATGTGAGCTGGGTTAAAAGTTAAACTCCTCTGTGATTCACTTCTTAATTGCGGTTTTGATCTGTCTGGTAAATTTATATCTGCAATATTATTGGGTGCTATCTGCTTGTGAAGTCATATGGTAAGTGTTGGACAGAGTTACAATACAAAACTTGACATATGTACTCTGTATCTCCTTACAATGTTATTTCACAGCCATTTTCATCATAAATTTTAGCCAAAGAAACCGAAACTTGACATATCACACTGGAACCTGTTTGTTCTTCTTGTCTTTCATAAAAGTTATACACAGCCACACTCATGGTCTGCTTAAACAGTAAGACGAATTTCTAAAGTTGATACTACTTCTATAGCTTTGATGGACCAACTAATTTGGTTTCTTACCTTGTCTGGAAACAGGTTATTTCTTCTGGGTTTGGAGAAGTACGGAAAAGGTGACTGGCGTAGCATTTCTCGCAACTTTGTGGTGACAAGAACTCCGACCCAAGTTGCGAGCCATGCCCAAAAGTACTTCATCCGTCTCAACTCCATGAACAAGGACAGAAGGCGGTCGAGCATTCATGACATCACAAATGTCGGAAAAGAGGACATCTCATCTCAACAGGGACCAATCACTGGTCAGAACAACAAGGGTGGAGCTGCTGGTTCAGGAGGCGGTTCCACAAAATCGTCCAACCAAGCCCCCTCTCAGCCACCTCCAGGCCCTGCCATATATGGTGGCTCCACCATAGGCCAACCAGTAGGCGGACCGATCGTCTCAGCTGTGGGCACACCAGTGAACCTCCAAGCTCCAACCCACATGGCTTATGGTGTCCATGCTGGCTCAGTGGTTCCTGGTGCACCACCCACGACAATGGCTCCAATACAATATCCAGTGCCACATACTCCCACAACTCATAGGTAACATTCTGTTTAGGTGTAAGATGTGTAAAGGGTAGTGAACATTTGAGCTTGTGCTGAGGTTCCAGAGTGAGTTTAGCTTTGTTGGATTCTGGGATTTGGATAAGAACATGATGAGTAGTTTCAGACATCAAAAGATTGTGTTTTATGGGCAGAATAAGCCGACAGATGAGACTGAAGCAGTTAACACAAATCTGTATATGTAGTAACACTCTGCTTTTCTTACACCTATGTTTGTCCCTCTATGAATATAGTCTCGAGCCGTTTATGTGTTGTTGTGCGGCAACATGCTTGTTTGTTTCAATTTAGTGATTTACTCATGTAACCTAAAATATAAGTGTAAATATACCCAACAGATCGTGGTCGAGTGGTCAAACTTGAGGTAGGAGGTAACTCCACCTTAAGGTTGAGTGTTCGATTCCTAGCTGATGGGGAGGGAGGTAATTTCTGGGTTTATATGATCCATATACAAAGGTTGCTCTCGGGCGAAAAGGAAATCTAAGCACAAAAACATGGTAGAAAAGGAAGTTAAAGCTGTGGTTACACATCCAGGAGGCGTAACCCAAACCAAGATGCGTCCTTTTTCGTTCCTTTGTCTTGGTTGGTAACCGCGATTAAATGCTTCCTAAGGAGAGAAATGATGCAGTTCACAGGACCTGACCCAAATTAGTGCTTTTCTGAAATGCAGGGTTATATTTGAGGTTTTTTGAGTGTAGGGACCTTTTTGAGAATATTATAAAGTATAGGGAGCTTATTGAAATTTCATATTTTCCTGAAGTATCTTTGGTGGCGGTAGACGCGAAGTTGTGTTGGGACTTGGGGGTTAGCTCTTGATATTTTTTTTAATAAGAAAAAAGATCGATAAATATCTCTCCTCGCCTCTGCTTTTTTCAAACTATCGAATCTACATCGCCCTTGTGATTGAATCTCTGCCGTGACAAAAGGGTCCCTCTCGATTTGCGAACATGGCGCCGCCGGCAAGAGAATCAGCGGCGGTGGCGGAGACGGCCGCGGGCGGCGGTGGAGATCAGGCTCAGCGGAGGCAGCAGCAAGGCGGTGGATTTGGGCAGACTATCACCGGTATCATTAGGATCGCCGTTTTCTGGTACTTTGCTTCCAAGTTCTTCTCTCCGAAGCGACCTGCGGATCCTTCCCAGCTCATGTCCAATATCTTCCAGAAGGGTGAACCCTTGGTAATTTTCCGGCGGAATCTTCGCGTTTTGATGAATTACTTGGATCTATGCTTTTCCCAATCTGTTTGTGCTTGTGAAGAGTTTGTTTTACTGTGAAGGTTGATTCTTTTCTTGTGGGTACTTCAGGATTTGTCCGTTGCATGATTTGAATATTTTCTAATCATCTCTTTTGTATATGTTTTGCTTATGGTCTTTGTTTTTTTATATGGATTCAAACGAAGGTTTCTCTGACTGGTCTGTGACTTAGTAGAATAAGCTTCAGCCTTTTAGATACAGGATTTTATTCACAATTCTAAACTCTATCCATGTTTTCCTCAGGATATATGGTTGTATCTCTCGGAGAACGAGAAATTCAGAGACTTTGGCAATGAAGGTGCACTTGTTTGGCATGAAACAAATATCCCTTATGCTGTGTGGAAGCCAGAAAGTACCAGGACCCTGTCACTGAAGTATTATCCATCCGAGGTTATCAACTTCTGGAATGTTTTATATATATATATATATATCAAGTTTCCTCTTATGCTTTCTCCATGGCAGTTGTATAGAACTGGTTTTTGTCTGCGTTTATCAGTGCCAGTGGGCTCATAGTTTGTCTCCTTTCAGGCATTGAAGCATAATGGGAGTCTATATGCCCATGTCTTCTTTGCTCGGTCTGGTTACTCCGTCGATCCTAGTGATCCTGAGTACCAACCTCTTAATAGTTTTGGCAGGACACAACGTAAGTCTGTTCCTACTTCCTAGGCAAATCACTTTGTTCACTATAGTTAATCGCCAGACTTCTATATTCACTGAAGTCAAAGGTTGTTTATTTTTTAGCTGTTGTTACTTACTTGCCGAAGCCAAAAGCTGATAAGACGAAGAGCTTGTTGGGAAATCCCACAGGCTCTGCTGAATCAAAACCGGTATGTCTCCTGAAAAGCCTTCTTTATCCAAGGAAAATATTGCTTGAAATACAAAGTAGTATCAATATTTGTCTTCATGTTTATTCAGTGACTGAAGTTGATATTTGCATTTGTTTGTGGGCTTGTTGAACCACTTTATTACTCTGAAAGCTATCCAATCGGTCTGAGAGAATTATGATGTCCAATTACCTCATACAGTTTTTTAGTTACAGTTATGTATGCGAGAAATCCTGCTAAAACTCAAGCCAATCTATTCCTGGTTTCATCTCATTACATGTGTATTGGGACTTGTTTATATTGAAGTTTATATGTTCTGTCAATGATATCCTCTTATGTTAGTTAGATAGTCCAACATTGATATCCTTGGCATGGTTGATGGTTCATTGTTCTTGGTTTTCAGCTTCCAGTCCTCAATCATGAGCTGTCCAAATACTTGGATTATAATAGTTTGATAAGGTTTAGCTTTAGATTTACATTTGAACACAAGATCTGCTGTTATGAATTAGCTTCATTTTGATTCTGGAACATGCATGAATGCAATTTTTTCCCAAGTGGAGTGCTATGTTGTTTCCTCCTCTTCTTTTGACATGGTTGCAAGAATTCTTCTCTTCATGTCTGTTTTTACCTATTACTGCTGCCAACAGCAGTCCCTGCAAGGGAGGATATAGAAACTGGTACTGTACTACTGTGATTAAAGGATACAAAAGGCAAACTAAGGTCTTTAAAGTCTTATGTTCTTGTCTGATTCCATGGTACCTGCTTAAATTATTTATGGGATACCCATGAGGTGTCACATGTGCTATGCACTAATGGAAACATCACTTCACAGGAGGTTGATGAAAACGATTTGGATCTCAAGGACGAGGGCCCTACAGAATGGATATCCTACTGGAAACCGAATATCACAATTAACCTGGTTGATGATTTTACTCGGTAAGTTGGCTTTGCCTCTTGGATGCAGAATCAGGTCAAAGAATGAAATCGTTGCCAAATAGATAAAGCCATGATTCACCTTATTAATCCTATGTCGTAATACAATCTTTTTTAATCCTTTTATTCGCGAGTAGCTGGATAAGAAGAAGCTCTCACGTTCAGTTCAGGCCGAAATTGTTTGAATATTTTTTAGGATGGCTATCTACATATGACCTTGCTTTTCCTGTGCTTTTCTTTGGGTACAGTGCTGATTGATCTCAATTTCCTTGCAGCTACTCAAGGAATGGTGTACCACCAAATATTGCTCCCTGTATCCTTCAACTTCATTTTATAGAAGCATGATCTCTGAGAGGATTTTGATTTTTCCCTTTTTGCTGTTCGTTGAATTGTTGAAATATGAAATGTTTTAGAGGGTTTCGATTTTGGCATGAAATAATTGGCATTGTGAATTATATACTTGCTCTTTGTGTTACTTAACTTAAGATTTGCAGACTTGCTTGTTGAGCCTCGCACAGGAAATTACTACCCAACAGTTTCCTTCAATGAATTTTGGCTTCTAAAGGACAAGCTGATCCAAATCAATGAGACTGTCACAGAATTACCACTTAATCTGGAAGTGAGCCCCATAAGCATGACAAAGTGGCAGTTATTTCTTCAAATTGACCAGTCTTTCCAGATTCATCGTAGCTATGGAAGCATGCTGGATGGTGAATCTGATGAGCTGAAGGTACTTGTACTTACCCATGACTTGCACCAAACCTTTGAATTGGCATACTAAAACTTTAGTGGTTTTGATGGATAATAATTTTGCAGAGGGTGTTTCTGGAAGGAAATCCTTACCTTCTAGCCATCACAACAGTGGTTTCAGTACTTCACTCGGTTTTCGACTTCCTGGCATTTAAAAATGGTGACCATCTTCACAAAATAACATGACCGATTTTGCTAATGCTCATTGGAATTGTGTATGCTGATACTTTCCATCTCCTGCAGATATTCAGTTTTGGAACAAAAATAAATCTATGGAAGGACTGTCTGCAAAGTCAGTTGTACTAAACTTTATATGCCAGCTCATTATCTTCCTCTACCTGCTCGACAATGACACTTCATGGATGATACTGGGTAGTTCAGGCGTCGGTGTCTGTATTGAGTTTTGGAAAATAGGGAAAGCAATGCGCATAGAGGTACATCTATTATCACATTAAGCCTCATCATTTTTTTCATGAAATATGCAGAAGGGAGTTTAACTGGCCAATTTGGATTTTTGACAGCAAAGTTCAACATTTTTCTCCATGTTTTTGACAGCATGCAAAGCAACCAAAGCCATTACTTACTATTTCAATTTGCATGCTCTTCGTATATACATTTGTTGCTTCGCATATAAACCTTAAGCAAGCATTTAAATGTCCCCAGATTGATCGAAGTGGAAGGATTCCAATGCTGAGGTTCCATGACCGTGAGTCATATGCAAAGAACAAGACTAAGGAGTACGATGATATCGCGATGAAATACTTGTCCTATGTTGTCTTCCTTCTCGTCGCATGCTTTTCTGTGTATTCCCTCATGTACAAACGCCACAAGAGCTGGTATTCATGGATCCTATCTTCACTAACAAGCTGCGTTTATATGTTTGGTAAAGCCTAAAACCTCCTCATGCTTCCTGTGTTATGATAAGCTAAATCATATAAGAGATCATCACAGTCTCTCTACTTGCCATGAACGAGGTCTTCCTATGGTGTTGCAGGTTTTATAATGATGTGCCCTCAGCTATTCATCAACTATAAGCTGAAATCAGTGGCTCATCTTCCATGGAGGCAAATGACATACAAGTTCCTCAACACCATAATCGACGATCTCTTTGCCTTTGTTATCAAAATGCCATTGTTGCATCGCCTCTCCGTCTTCCGAGATGGTGAGTTCATCGTTTTTTCATCCAGTTTTCAATCTCAGAATACCGTATTCGCCTGTATGGATTTGGTGGATTATGATGGGTCAGCGATGATTAAGGATATGGGATCAATGGTGTGTGCTTTTGGTTGTTGCAGATGTAATATTCTTGATATACTTGTACCAAAGGTGGATTTACCCAGTGGACAAGACGCGTGTGAACGAGTTCGGGTTTGGAGGTGAGGACGAGACTGCAGAGAAGATCACTGACAAAGAAGATGAGAAGAAAACCAACTGAGATTGTCTTCTTGTTTTTTTTTTTTTTTTTTTTTTTTTTTCTCCACTTTATAAGCCATTTTGACATTAACTTGTTTCAGTAGGTAACTTAATTGCTATTTTCCCCTACAAAATTTGGTGAAGTTTGTAACGTTGAAAAGTCCATTTCATTTCATAGTTTTCTATATCCGTTATTCTGAATATTCATATTTTAAAGGTTATTATAAGAAAAAAAATGAAGATGAAGGTATGTCAGTAATTGGTACGGGGATGAAATCTGACCAGAACAAGGAGATGCTAAGTTGTCTGATTGGCTAATAAATGGCAACCGGGCCGACCCGGTACTCTCAATTTCAGCAATTGATTTAGCATAGCAGAGAGGCATCTTGAATGGAAACCAACGAAAACCATAATTGAAAATGTGAAAATAGTCTTTAAATGAAAAAAAAAAGATGTGAAAATAAGAAAATAGCCTCCATGGCAACCGGGTCGACCCGGATCCCCAATATACAACATGGGCATCGGCCGTATTAAAGAAGGCCCATTAAGCTTATTAGTATAATTTCATATCCCATTAAAAAGGGCATATTAAATAATGCCCATTAGGCTTGTTAGTATAATCTTGTATTGAATAAATATTAAATAAGGCCCGTTAAGCTTGTTAGTATAATTTCGTATTAAATATTAAATAAGTCCCATTGAAAACAACATATTAAATAAGGCCAATTAGGCATGTTAGTATAATCTTGTATTAAATAAATATTAGATAAGGCCCACTAAAAATCACATATTAAATACGGCCCATTAAACTTTGTTTTTGCTATATTAGTGATGGGTGAAATTGAATAGAGTATTATAAAAAAATAATTTTGCGGGGATCTAGGTGTTATTTATAAATTCTGTGTCTTATTCGGAAGATTTCATAAGTAGGAGGGCCGCAAGTGATATAAATCTGAAATTCGTTGAAGATAAAAAAAGGAAAGGAGGCACGTTCAAGTCACGTGAGAACCAAGGGGTGTAAACGGGGCCATTATCAAAAATACCCTTAATTTGCTATTTTTACTTCAAACCCTACCCTTGTGACCATGTGACCAATATGACCGAAATATAGTGTGGTCACATATTGATACCATTGTTCATAACGTTAAATTTATGATATTTTAATCAAATGATTAATAAGATATACAAGGTATGAACATAATGAATTAGTGTGATCACCATAAATTTAACGTTATAATCGATAAAAATCAAAATGTGACCATACTATATTTCGATCATATTGGTCACATGTGACCAGGGTGTCTTGACGTAGAAATAGCAAATTAAGGGTATTTTTGATATAATGCCGTGTAAACGAGAAGACAATATTTAATTATTTATCCATTATATATATATATATATACTGGTATAGAGAGAGAAAGCAGAGAGAGAAGCGAGCTAATCTTGTGTACAAAGCTTTGCTGTTCTGCAGGATATTCGGCCATTACCCCGAACCTCAGTCTTCTCGGAAAATCCATCGGAAAACTTGTCAATCGGTAAAAGCTCCTCCCTTTCGCTATCCTTTTTGGTTCTGGTGATAATTCCTAGAGCTTTTCTAGGGTTTTTTCAATTGTTGTTTTAAGGTGTAACAATCTGGGGGGATTGGGGATGTGATTTTGCCTTGCTGATGAAGTGAATTCACAGTATTGTTCTTGCTGGTTCTAGGGTTTTCGTACTCTCTCTATTTTGAGCAATGAGTGGTGTTCCAAAGAGATCTCATGAAGAGGGTGTTCCTCATTCCTCCTCCTCTTCTTCTTCCAAGTACCCTAACGAAGATTCAGGTTCTTACCCTAAGCTGACGACGGGGTCGGCGGCTATGGCTCCTCAGCCGGCTCAGGTTCATCAGCAGCATCATCACCACCAAATCCATCAGCATCCATCGCACCCTCATCCCCTTCCTCATCCTCCCTCTCATCCGCGTTCTCACCCACATGGCCCTTACGAGCTCGACTCTAGAATGGCCAAGGTTCAGAGAGCTGAGCCGAGAGATGCTGAGAGGCGATCCCCTCTGCACTCTGTGTACCAGGCGCCACCATCCTCCACTTCGAATGATCCCCATATGACTCATGTCCCGGTGTTGGAGCCGAGAGAGAATAAGGACGGTAGGGAGATTCGGGTTGAGAGCCGAGAGAACAGGAGTGAACCAGGAGAGATGTTTGGTGAGGCAAAAAGGGATATTCAGAGTGGTAAGGGTGAAAGGGACGTGAAATTTGAGGGCAGAGCTGATGATAATGTGGGCAATAATAATGGCAGCGGCTATGGTAGAGATACCAAGTTTGAAAGGGAGAATTATAATGACCAGAAGGCTGAGATTAAGATGGAAAAGGACGGGCATGGTCATTTGGCTTGGAAAGACCAGAAGGATTACCATAGAGGGAAAAGATTTGGTGATGGCTTGGGTGGAAATGCCGACCCATGGCTTGCATCTCGTGATACTCTGCAAGGCCCAAGTGAGTTTGGGGGGAAAGAGATCTCAGGGCCTGAGGAGGGAGCGCATTTAGAAGGGCATGAGACTTTAAGAGAGAATATATTGAAAAGTGACGATAGATTTAGAGACAAGGATATGAAACGCAAAGAGTTGAAGCACCGTGAATGGGGGGAACGAGATAAGGAAAGAAATGATCGCAGAGGATCCTTGCAGATTGGTGGTGTCATGTGTGAGTCCAAAGAAATTGGAAGAGAAGAAAGCGAAGCAGATAGGTGGGGACGGGAGAAGATGGATCAGAAGGAACAAGATAGACTAAAAGAGAGGGAAACAGATCACGTTAAAAGAGAGACATGGAGTGGTGCTGAGAGAGAGATCACACAGAATGAGAAAGAGTTGGGAGAAGCATCTGTGAAATTACCAGAGCAGGAAAATATGGTATCAGAACAGAAGAAACCGATAGATGGTGATAACTGGAAAGGTGGTGCTGACAGAGAGTCTAAGGACAAAAGGAGGGAGAGAGATGGTGTTGAAGAAGCAGAGAGAGCTGAAAAGCGTAGTAGAATCAATGAAAAAGAGTCTGAAGAGGGATTGGTGGATGGTGAAGTGGCAGCAGAGAAGGACAAAGATGTCTTCAGTTATGGAGTTCAGCAGCGAAAGAGGATGCTACGGCCAAGAGGCAGCCCACAAATGACCAACCGCGACCGTTTCCGTTCACGGGCTCAGGACAATGAAGGGTGTGTTTCCTTGTCTTAGTTTTCCTTTTCAGCCACCTTTATACTTCGTCTAATGATTCACTAGCTTAATTTATGTTTATGTTCCATTTAGAAATATATGCACATACGCAAGAGAGGCTGACTCCACAAGCCTTAAAATAGTAAATCAATTTTTGATTTAAATTAGCGAATCAAACTATGTGATCTGTATAGGTCTATCATTTGACTACCTCTATGCTGTTTTGTATAACTTATGAATGATCTCAATTTCTGAACTGGAAACAAATTTTGATTTTTGGAAAAACTTTTGGATATGATTATCTCTGCGAAAGGCATGTAAATTATATCATACTTATTGATTTACACATGAAAAGGTGAAGGCCTTTCCATAGTTGTAACTAGGTGGGTGGCTTCTTTTCCCCCTCAGATTTAATAGTATGACTTGATAGAGTCCAGGGTCTGCTTGTGTTTAGTAAAATGATCTTCAATCACTGAATTCGTTGCCCTTGCCTTAATCTCATTTCCTTCAAAAGAATATCCGGTCTCCATTTTTCCCGTTTTTTATCACACTTTTTAGTTTCTTAGTTAAGTCCTTTACTTTTTTTCCCCTTTTAGTATGGATTGTTATTGTTTCTGTTTATTTGGTTTTTAAAAATTTACTCATACTGTGTTTCGTTATGTCTATTTTTCAGATCTCAAGGTAGGCACTCCTCTCTTGATATCATCGAGCTGGGATCTTGTATGCATTGCCCGAAGAGCTGCAATCAGGAGAATTTGATTTAACTGAGATAGTTTTCTATCAAATTCATGTGTCAAACCTTATTTTTTTAGGTTTGTTTGTCTTCATTTGAGATCCTTGTTAGGTCTGTCCTTAGGTTGCATTTCCTTCATTTTACATTTATATTTCGAATATGAACCAGAATTTAAGGGTTTTGTCTAGTAATTGAAGGAAAGGAGCAAGAGGTCAGTTCAGCATCTGCTGTTTCCAGAATCGGTCTAGAGTCTTGTTAATTGAAAATATGTTTAAGTTTCTGCCGATTGTCTTCTAGGATTCTCCAGTTGATTAAATTTCAGGTAAATGCATATGCTATGCAGTGTAGTTCACACACAGCCACTCCCATTTTTTCAGAGTGCATGTGTTTTTTCTTTATTGTCAATGCCCGGTTTCATTTTGCTAGTTATCGTTGGTTGCTCAGTGCATTCTCGTTATATTGAGTCAACAGTTTCGTAGTTGCGAGGCTGTGGTGAATTACTTGTTTACGTCATGAATCTGCTTGTTGAATTTTTTATTCTGCTGGTGATTCAGGCAAATCAGAAGTGTCAACTGTTTCTTACAAAATTGGAGAGTGTATGCAAGATTTGATTAAGCTATGGAAGGAATATGAATCATCACATCCTGATAAAACTGGGGATTTCGCAAATAATGGCCCCACTCTTGAAGTTCGGATTCCAGCTGAGCACGTTACTGCTACCAATCGCCAAGTGAGATTAAGATACATCAAAATTTCCTTATTGTTCTTTTTTCCCTGTAACATGGTTTGTTTCCTGTACTTTGTATTTATGTTTCTTTTAATTTAATTATCTGGTTTTCATTGCTAAATTCTATTTCTGTATGAGTATTATATGTCCTGCTTTGTGGAAGTCATGTAATTTTAAAGTGTCTACCAGATTTGTGATTTTCTTTTTTTGAAACAATGAACACAAAGGGTTTTGCAGTGGCATCTGGTCGCAAAGTGATGGCTATAGGATAGTTTATATTTCGTATCTATCTGTTGTCTGCTAAGATTTTTGGATCTGTTCATATGCAGGTGAGAGGTGGCCAACTATGGGGAACAGATATATACACAGATGATTCCGATCTTGTTGCTGGTGTGTTGAGAAGAACCATTTTTCAGTTAATACTTTTGCTGTTGTTCATCTGCACTGCTAAAGTACATTGAGCTTCTTAGCACTGTTGATGTTTGGTTTTTTTTCCTCCTAGTTCTCATGCATACAGGTTACTGCCGCCCCACAGCTTCTCCTCCTCCACCTACAATTCAAGAATTGAGAGCTACCGTCAGGGTGTTACCGCCAAAAGATTGTAAGTTTCTTAAGGCCTTTCTGGTGGCTTTTAACCCCTCTCACTGACTATCAAAAGAATTATCAAACCTCTCTCCTTGTTTCAAACTCAGCAAGCTTAATTTAGATTTCCACCATTTGTTTCACCTGGCAAAAACATGAGCTCATAAGAAAAAACGGTGTAAAATGATCCTGCTGCATAAACCCAGCAAATTATCAGCAGAGACTTACCTCAAATATGAGAAAAAAAACAGATTTTACATGGACAAGAACAGTCATAGTTTCACAAGTAAAATTCATTCTTTAGTCTTATAAGCATGGATTTTCACCACAAGTACAGTCAAAGTCTCAAGTTTTGTTAAACTTCAGTTTATAATCAAGTGCAAGTGGGAGCGTAGAAGAAGGTTTTGTTTGGTTGCTCAAAAAATAGAAATCGCATTAGGTCTCCAGATCAAATGCTTTGGCTGCCCACAGGTATGTGACTGGACAGGTAGGCTTGTCTGAAGACTTAGAAGACTAGGATGTATTGAATATTGAATTTTGGGGATTTGGAATTACCAAGCAGAGCTTTTTGAGATCTTGCCATATTCATTTACATTGGAAGGAAAGCTTTATCCAACTTTTAATTTCGTAGGCTATTCATCCAAGCTGAGGAACAATGTCCGCTCTCGAGCATGGGGAGCTGGAATCGGATGCAGTTACAGGGTTGAGCGGTGCTATATTGTGAAGGTTCTTTTACTTCCATTTTCTTCTCTTTTCGTTAATTTTCCAATTATCGAGTCATCTTTTTCTCCCCTCTATAGTTTCATAATTTCCAGTACATCAAGCCATGTTGTGCTAAGATTATTACGGAATAGTGAAACTGTTATTTTCCTTAATGTTCATATTCAATCTCTTCCATTGCAGAAAGGAGGTGGTACTATTGAACTTGAACCGTGCCTTACACACTCTTCTACTGTTGAGCCTACACTTGCTCCTATGGCTGTCGAGAGATCAATGACTACCAGAGCTGCAGCTTCGGTATTTTCATATTTCTCTCCTTTCAGCCCATGATTTAGTTTACTTGGAGATTAAAAATTGTTATTAATGCAGAATCACTGACTGTGAGATAGCATATACGTGTTTAATGAATGAAATTCCTATGAAGTAATTATGTATTCTTGCACTCTTGATTATAACTTCTCACCGAAAGTTTGTGGTGGCACTAAATGGAAACTGATGACTTGTTTTTACCCTTGTCTTAGAATGCTTTGCGGCAACAAAGATTTGTTCGGGAAGTTACGATACAGTACAATCTCTGCAATGAACCTTGGTAACTCTTTGAAATCTCTACTCAATGCTTATTAATTTTTATGTTTGCTTGATTGGTCACGAATCTGTATTACCCTAATTAATACATTAGAATGCAAGAAACTGAAGCAAGAGTTGTAGAGACGAGACGACATGGTTTTAGTTTCTTCTGTTACTATCACGCGATTTTTCTGTGCTTATGTTCATACGATTTGACCATTTGTTAATATGTCGGGGCTTATATACATAAACCGTGTTTATCGAATGGCTTATTGAAGGATCAAGTACAGCATAAGTATGGTGGCTGATAAGGGTCTGAAGAAGCCCCTCTTCACCTCTGCACGCTTGAAGAAGGGAGATGTTCTCTACTTAGAAACACATTCATGCAGGTATTCTTTCTGTCTATCAATCAGCAGTTTCATCACTTGATAATTAACATTCATACATCATCAGAAACCGTCTTTTTTCTCGAAACCCGTGATGAACACAGGTATGAACTCTGTTTCACGGGAGAGAAGAACGTGAAAGCCGTGCAAGCATCACACTCCAATGAGGGGGAGGGAGATAATAAGTCTCAGAATCATAACCATAATCATCACTCTCATATGACAAACGGAGATAAAACAGAGTCGGATAACGTAATAATGGATGTATTCCGGTGGTCACGGTGCAAGAAGCCTCTCCCTCAGAAGGTCATGCGTTCTATCGGGGTTCCCCTTCCTCCGGACCATATCGAGGTAATCCTTTCGTCTCAAGCGTCTTCCCGTTAAACCCGCCCTTCTTTGAACTTTGAAGTATCATCTCTCCATAACTTTGGTTAGAACAACATGCGAATATGCGTGTGTGAAAGAGCAGGTGATAGACGACAACTTGGACTGGGAAGACGTACAGTGGTCTCAGACGGGTGTTTGGATTGCCGGCAAAGAGTATTCACTTGCTCGTCTTCATTTCCTCTCTCCCAATTAATAAAAAATTAAATTTAACCAAAAAAAATAACAATGGGTTATTTATGTTTCACCACTCAAATATTATATATATATACAGTTTGTTTTCAGCTATTTGTTGTATACTTCCTCTTCTGTCTTGTTGTAAATGCTTCTTACTCTGTCTGAATCGCATTTTCCATTTCCCTCGGGATTTTTATTTTATGTTCTTTTTTTTTAATATATAATTTCCTTTTTTTCCACTTAATATTATTTGATTTGATTGTTCTATTACTGTAATTAATATTTAATTACAAAAAGGTTAAACAAAGAAAGTATATGAATGATAAATGAAAGGAAAAAACCCATAAAAATATTGAGTTTGTCATTTTTTTTTTGAATTTGAAAAGTTTTAATAAAACAATTTGTCAATGTTTATCGTCAAAAACATTGAATTTGTAATTCGTTTTCGAATCAACTGTTCTATAGCTTTGATTTGATCGAATTTTTCTTGTCGTCCAATTTCCTACGTGATACATGCGGAATAATGACTGAATAATGACTAATGACGTAAAAAAAAGCTATCCATGTCAACAAAAAATAAATAAATAACATAGACACGTATATATATATACACATATATATATATACGTGCATTAGTATATACATTTGTATATCTATGTGCTTTTTATTTATTTTTAATTTTTGTTGAGATAAACAACTCTTTTTTATGTAACGCTACGGTGAAATCAGATCAAATTGACTGGTTACTACTACGCAATGAGCTTGAAATGGTTGATTTGAATGCGAATTGTAATTTTAGTGTATTTGATAAAAATATATATATATATATAAACGAATTTGGATTATTGAAAATTTACAACCCATTTTTTCATATTCAGAAATCTTTAATGGATATTTTTTTCCCTCACTTAAAGATATTTGCCTCTTTTTCTTATTTTTTTTTCCTTTAAAAATTTATTTTGCTTTGGATATTTTCATTTTAGATAACTTTTTCTTCCTATAACAAAAAATTATCCACATATATATATATATATATATATATATATATATGTAAAGAAATGTCGAATGGCTACGGCTAATCCGAAACAAGTTCATTGTTTTCTACTTTTTCAGCCTGCAATAAACGATAGAAGAGCTTGTTTTGATTTCATAACAAAAAGACAAAATGGTTAGTTAAAGCAGCTCATTGACACTTGTCACTCACTCGTGAGGGGGGAGATCATAGGGACTCGTACGTGTCTCTATAAACACAAGCATGGCTATCGCCATTGACAGCCATTGAAAGACCTCGGAGCCATGGCCACTGACAAGCTATCCATTCCATTGAAGACCAGGTTCTTCCTCTCTCTCCTCGACACCGCCATGATCCCCGACGTCTCCCTCTTCCGCGGCGGATTTTTTCGCTTCTTCGACTTCCGCTCCCCCCCTAATCCTCTTCCCCTCGACGGCGTCTCCACCGCCGATTTCGTCGTCGATCCTTCCCGAGATCTCTGGTTCCGCCTCTTCACCCCCCACGCCGCCTCCGATGATCGCCGCCGTCTTCCCGTCGTCGTTTTCTTCCACGGCGGCGGTTTCATGTACCTGAGCCCTAGCTCCGTCCTTTTCGACCGCCTCTGCCGCCGATTCTCCCGGAAAATCCATGCCTTCGTCGTCTCCGTCAACTACCGTCGATCTCCCGAGCACCGTTACCCCGCCCAATACGACGACGGATTCGACGCTCTCAGGTTCCTCGACGAGAACCACGCGGCGATTCTTCCTCCCAACGCAGACCTCGCAAAATGCTTCCTCGCCGGCGACAGCGCCGGCGGCAATATCGCTCACAATGTCTCCGTCCGCTCTTGCTCCGCCGTGTTCCGCGCTGTGAAGCTAACCGGAATCATCGCGATCCAGCCGTTCTTCGGCGGAGAAGGTCGTACGGAGGCGGAGGAACGCATTGTCGGAGCCCCGCTAATCTCCGTCAGCCGGACGGACTGGTGGTGGAGGGAGTTTCTGCCGGAGGGATCGAACCGGGACCACGTGGCGGCGAACGTCAGCGGACCAAACGCGGTGGATATAATCGGAAAGGAACTCCGATTACCGGCGACGGTGGTGGTTGTGGGGGGAATGGATCCGTTGCAGGATTGGCAGAGAAGGTACTACGAGTGGTTAAAGAAATCCGGGATAAGAGCAGAGTTAATCGAGTATCCAAACATGTTCCATTCCTTTCATATGTTCCCCGAACTCCCCGAATCCCATGAGCTGATAATGCGGATCAAGGAGTTCGTGGACGAGCGCGTGGCTTCACTCTCCGCTTAGCTACCGAAACTTCATCTTTGGAATTGGAATGCATTTCATTGTTGAAGATACCATGTGTATGTGATACAGTGGTCACATCACATACATTATAATGAAAATACAGTAATCACGTAATATATGATGTATGATCATGCACTAGTGACATAAAAACTGCACTTTCATTTCCTAACTTAGGATAGAATATAAAGATTTGGAGAAACTCAAGTAAGAAATGGCAAGCATGGCAAGCTGGGAAGTATCCAACTCAATTGAAAAATGATATACTCTCTCTACACGAGGTTATGGGTTCGATTCCTTCTGAGATTTGAGTTTCCTTTTGAACCGATCAGTTTCGGCTAGTTTACCTGTTCCGTGTGGTTTACCGACTATTACACAGAGTCGGAGGTTTACTGTTCGAGATATCATCTGATTCAAGGGGTCGGACGGTGTCCGGCCCGAAAGACTATGCGATGGGTTTTCCACCGCAAACAGTTCATATGGGAGGAATGGTGTGTACTAGTGGTTACTCTCCTCAAAACAATGACTGTGTGAAAGTCGAGGAGCTATATGTTCAACAAATTCGTAACTTTCCATCTCATAATACAGAAAATAAAAACTGAAAATATATCATTCGGATGAATAGGATATTAGCTCAGTTCACACAAATGATATTTCAAATCTAAATATGGTTATTCAGCACTTTTGGTTCATACCAATAAAACCCGAATGAGAAAGAAGATGATCTTTATTTATGTAGGATGTTTAAAAAATGAAAATCACATATCAATACATAAAAATTTAATTACATCACACATTATTCTACAAACTTTAAAATTACTAAGAAAATACCCGATTGTTAAATAAAATAAAAACAGTGTCAAATACTACGTAGATTTTTGGAGTTACAAAATCAATAATTTTGACTAGAAAGCGAAAAAGTTTATATATTTTTTCTAAGATTTAACCGAATGAGTTATATAAATGAAAAATAATATATAAATACCTGAACTTTTATAAAAAATCTCATATAAATACCTAAACTATAAAACTTCCATATAAATACCTGAACTTTTAAAAATCCTATATAAATACCTAGATTTTTAAAAAAATTCCAAATAAATACAAATTTCAAGTATTTTTCAAATAAAAATAGGTGATATTATTAACGAATTTTGGGTTTATTTGGGAGTTTTTCAAAAGTCTAGATATTTATATAGGATTTTAGAAAATTTCAGACATATATATGAAAATTTTATAATTCAGATATTTATGTGGGATTTTTGTAAAAATTCAGGTATTTGTATGTGATTTTCTCTTATATAAATGATAAATGCATGCATGGGATGCATTTTGGTACGCGTGGATAGCTTTCATGCCTGCTATCATTCAATCACATGTAGTTATATACATATATACATTGGTAATCCTATGCCAGAAAAACTAAACCACGAAAGAGAGTTGTTGCTTTGCAGCTTGTGACAGAGCTCCACATCAAATATCACTTGAGTGTTGTTTGCTGTATTGTAAGATGGATCCTCCTCAGGCTCAGGTTAAACGGATTGTTATGTAAAAATTCTAAACAGAGACAGTGTGTAAACTCCCAGAGATGATTCTTTTCTATTCAGGCAAATGTAAACTCACAAGGGACAGAATGTAAACCAAGTGCTTGTGACTTGTGTATGTCTGACAAACAAAAGTGTGGGTGCTTCATGAATGGATTTTTCACAAAAAGGCCAATACATACAAACTACACAGAACAAGGGATATCTTGCTCATTCCTTTTGCCTAGGCTAAATCCGGGTTCGAAATGCTCTCGTTCATCATCAGCTACACCAATCTTACACAATGAATCACTCAGGATGGGCTCCATCTCCGTCCGAGGATATATATGAATCTGTCGTTTTGTCAAAACAAAAACCCTTTCTTCTTTCCCTTCCTTTTCTCTAGAGCCTGCAACAGAATTTAGCAAACTATACAATCACCATCTGTTTCGATCCTCCCCTACAGCTTGAACTCTTTGTACAGTTCTCTTATGGACATTTCCATACGCAACACCGTTCAAAGAACAATATCTGGTTCTGATGATGCTTTCAGACAACATAAAAGATGACGGTTTCATAAGAAAACGTACCCTCATGATAAATAATCTCAGGGTGAGTGTAATTGTATCTCTTGAGCTGCCAAAACCAAAAACAGAAGAGAAGATTATTTCTTTACAGACGCGAGGAACAAATAAATTAACACAACGAGGTTCAACCTTGGATCATGGTATTCGTTTTATTAATTAAAAAAAAACCATATCTTCGGTTCAGTTTTCCAAGGAGAATTAATCCGTAAGCTATTTAGGCAGATCGAGTTTCAACCTCATCAACCTCTTAGAAACTAAATAACTTATGTCAAGCTGATCAAATCCTGTGAATTCGTGTGATTTCATTCATACTGCGCATGAATATGGTCGACTTCCCTCTTCAAAAGATGAACAAGTGCTACTTTACCAGGTAAGATCTGTTGTGGCATCATCCACTCGTAGGATATGCTCAGTACCATCAGTGCCAATTATCACAAATTCTGCAGGCTGTCCATAGGGAATTGCGACCTATAGAAGCAACAAGATAAGATAACAAGCTTAGTTGATTCTTAACAAAAAAATGATAATCTCACCGATCAGACAACGTCCTAAAAGTTATAATTTGTAGCTCTACTTCAGGCCAGATGTATGGAAAATCAACTAGAAAACAAAGGTTTGAGTCTGCTCTTTCGGGGGAACCCGCAATTAATGGAACATGTAACTAAGAAACAAGGCTGCCAAAGAAATAAGCAATAAATTTGCAAATAACTTGAAAAATAAAATTAACAGCAATAAAAATGAAGATGGTGAAAGCTTATTTGCTTTTAGAATTCAATGCCACACAATTCTCTCCACCCAGACTTTTTACAAATCGAGGCCAAGGCAATTTTTCTTTTTTTCAACAAAGAAAAGAAGCAAACAAATAAAGCAAGGCATGAATCTTACAGTAGTAGAAGGCGAGAACTTTTCTGTGTTTGTGAGTCCACTACTACGTTTGATATTGTAACCTTCTCTCTTGATAGATAGAGTAGCTGGTTCCCATATATCAAGATAACCAGTCTGTTTCCAAAGAGAGATTATCGAGTTAAAACACAAACAGACCATAGAGTTCAAAGACAGATTGCCAAGTGAAAAAGCTACATAAAGCCGAACAAATACTGTAAAAAAGGCAGATGATCACAGAGAATAAGCGCAAGATCTGAGGCAGCAAACGCCATACCGCTAAAGATACTTTGTATGAAGCATGACCGGTGTAGAGAGTCTTCTCTATATGGCTCTGCATCTCTGGATCTGTAAAAACATAAAGGAAGAATATACTATTACAAAACACATCCAAAATATTCGATGATCCAAAACCTGAAATGTCCAGGCATCCCCACCAGGAAGGCTAACAACAGATACTAATATTACTAAGGTTTTTCAAGAACATTCTAGATTTACAGGCGCTACTACGTGTAACCCAAGCAACCGAAGAACGGCTCAGCCAGCATAAAAGAATAACTTTAGCAGTTCTATTGCAGGTAAAAGTTCCAAAGTAAATGATCGAACAATAGTTGAAGGGCAAGCAAAGAATTTAATTTTGCCAAGTGGTCTAAGTAATGTATAAACTTACGGCAAGTAATCTTCCGATTCTCATTGGCAAAGACCCTCACAACCTTCCCCTAGAATCAGAAAGAAAAACAGATGGATTGTATGAACTTATAGAAAATTGAAAATCATTTAGCATATAAGTACTGTAATCACATGTAGCATAACTCTACAGTTCAGGAATTATGAGCAAACCTACTTCTTTCAACTTTTTTCAGTCAATGCTCGCCCCCCCCCCCCACA